AAAAAACAAAAGCGACAAAAACACCAGATTTACTGGTTCAGCCAATTGACCTACATTGTCTTACGAAGATGTTTCTAGGTTATAAAATAATGAATAAGAAAAACTTAAAGCAAACAATTAGATTTTTTTATGGTGCATCTGATTTCAAAGCTCAGACCCTTATTTATAGTTATAATAGGAGATAACAAGCCTGATTTTTCCAATGTGGGACTATGAGACTTGCCAAACTAACAAATCTCCACATTGGCATGTCCCAACAAAACTTGCTCCACCTTCATAAAAGTCCCAACGGCCAATCACCAACAATGAATACCAACCAAGTCCAAGCATTTCTTGAACTTGTAAACCGAAAGAGGCTTCGTAAACATATCAGCTAGATTGTCCTTCGTATGAATTTTCTGAACAAGGACCTTTCCCTCAGCAATGATATCTCATTTGCATCCAACAATTTTCTTACTCGAAGGCGGCTTCACAAGATTAGAGAGATTCTATTTCTTCATTTATTGCAATCAACCACTTAGTAGAATTATCATAAGAAACTGCATCTGAGTAGGTAGTAGGCTCACTAACTTCACTTATTTCTTTTTCAACAGACAAAGCATATGCAACCAAATTTACATATCTTTGTGGTGGTCGAATATCTCTCCGTGGTCTATCCTTGGCTATGAAATATTGTGCTTCCTCTAGATCATCTTCGTTAGTAGACTCGGGACCATCTACAGGTATTCTTTGAATAGAAGAGTTAGACTGAAAAGAATTAGAACTACCAATCTCAAGCTCCACCTGCTTCTGCACACTATCATTTGTACAACTAGTAGATTCTTCTTTAGAAGATAACATAGACAATTCATCAAAATTAACATATCTACTGATTACAAATTTTGGGGATTTTGGATCAGAACACCATAATCTGTATCCTTTCACCCCAGAAGCATACCCAAGAAAAATACATTTTTTAGCTCGAGGCTCTAATTTTCCTTCATTTATATGCATGTATGCTGGACACCCAAAAATTTTTAAATCAGAGTAATCAGCAGGAGTACCTGACCAAACTTCCTCCAGAGTTTTAAAGTTAAGTGTTGCAGAAAAGCGCGGTTGACAACGTAACAGGCCATATTAATCGCCTCTGCCCAAAAGTCCTTTGTCAACCTTGCATTTGAGATCATACATCTTGCTCTCTCCAAGAGTGTTTTGTTCATACGTTTGGCCACACTATTTTGTTGAGGCATCATCCTAACAGTACGATGCCGAATAATTCCTTCATTTTTGTAGAATTCATCAAAGTCACCTTCACAAAATTCCATGTCATTATCTGTTCGAAGCCGCTTAACCTGTTTACCTGTTTGCTTCTCAATGAAAGTCTTCCATTATTTAAAGGTTAGAAAAACATCATTTTTATGCTTCAAAAAATAAACTCAAACTTTCTTGGAATAATCATCGATGAAAGTCAACATATACCTAGCATCACCTTTAGACTGAACATGAGCTGGACCCCAAAAGTCTGAATGAATATAGTCAAGAGTACCTTTTGTTTTGTGAACTACCGGAGAATTGAAACTGACTCTTTTTTGCTTTCCAAAAATGCAGTGTTCACAAAAATCTAGTGGCCCAATACTCTGTCCGCAAAGTGGACCCCTTTTGCTTAATATTCTCAAACATTTTTCACTCATATGACCCAAACACATATGTCATAATTTGGTGATGTCAGAATCAGACAATAATGATGACGAGACTGCAACTGAGCCTGTGACAGTAGTTCCCTGCAAAATATACAAGCTACCAGACCTACAAGCTTTCATAACAATAAGGGCATTTCTAGAAACTTTCATAACTCCACATTCAGTTGCGTATTTACACCCAAGGGCTTCTATGGTGCCTAAAGAGATGAGATTCTTTTTTAAATCAGGAACATGTCTAACATTAGTGAGCGTCCTCACAATACCATTATGCATTTTAATTCGGATTGTTCCTCTACCAACAACATTATATGCTACATTATTGCCCATCAAAACAATTCCACCATTATAAGATTCATATGTGGAAAACAAATCTCTATTAGGACACATGTGATAAGAACAACCCGAATCTAAAATTCATTCATTTTTAGACCTCGTCCTGTCATCAGTAGCAAAGAAAATATTTCCATCATTCTCATCAGCTGCTACACTAGCTTCAGCAGACTTAGTAGTTTTCTCAATAATTTTTTTCTTTTGCTTTAATTTATTTTTCAATTTAAAGCAATCAGCCTTAATGTGCCCCATTTTATGACAATATCTGCATTCCAAATTTCTATGTCTGAATTTAGATCTAGATTTAGATATACTACTGTCAAATTCTCTTTTATCCATTCTACCCTGACAACTAGAGCCTGATTCCCTCTACTTTCCCTAGTGATATCTCTGTCTATCTGCTCCTTAGATTTTAGTACAGATTTAATTTTCTGATACGAAATTATTTCTTTTTCATAAATCATAGTATCACGGAAATACTTAAAAGATTGGGGAAGAGAACACAAAAGTAACGGGGCCTTATACTCATCATCAATTTTTGCATCTATATTCTCTAAATCCATAACCAACCTTTAGTCATCCGCAAGATCTAAAATGTTCTTAGCTCCCTGTAGTGCTAAATCAACTCCGTCTTGAACCAGAATGACCTTCATCTTAAGTTGCCACATGTCGAAGTTGACATTTCTGTCGAATTTTTTGACAACGATCTTTGTTATTGTCATTATTTCCAAAAGATCCCGAAACCAAGCTCTGATACCAGTTTATTAGAGTTAGTCCCAAGAAATTTACCAAGGGTAATTTTGGCAACTTAATAAAGATAATAAAGCG